ACTGTAAATTCAGACACGTGAGGTTGTGCTGAAAAGAATGAGACCAAACAAGGCAAAGTAAATCGTTTTTAAAGGTAAAATGTGGAGGGAAAATCAAAAGTAGTTAAAAATGGCCAATTATACCCTTGAGGGTTAAATCTTTTTTTTTTAAATAACAGATTAGTTAGTTTTCGAGTAATTAATTACTTTTAGAATATTGTAACTCAGTTACTAACTCAGTTACTTTTTTTGAAGAAGTAACTAGTAACTATAATTAATTACTTTTTCAAAGTAACTTGCCCAACACTGGAGCTGAGTATTGATGATAGTAAGTAACAGCTAGATGCTGTTTCCATTTGTACCCGGGCCGGTACGGGGAGGTCATTGTGAACCCAATGTAAGAGTTTTTGTATGTTAGCTGCCCAATAGTAGTGTCTAAAATTGGGCAGGCGAAGACCACCGTCATTGAATAGATTTACAAACTCTAGCTTGTTTCCCACCCCACATGAAATGTGACAGAATCTTTTCTAACTTATCGAAGAATGCTTTAGTAAAAAGAAGGGACATGTTGAAAAAGATACAAGAATTTGGGGAGGACATTCATCTTTATCAGATTAACTCTGACAATGGTAGTGAAGTCCAATGGTCACAGTCTTTCCCAACGTTTTCTAATAGGGATAGAAAATTCTCCCTCATCATTTTAGGTATAGAAGAAGAAATAAAAACCCACAGATATCCAAATCTGGTTTCTGTCCACTTAAAGCAGGGGTCACCAATCCCAGTCCATGTGGGCCGGTGTCCCTGCAGGTTTTAGATGTGTCCTTGATCCATCACAGCTGATTTAAATGATAAATTACCTTCTCAACATGTCTTGAAGTTCTCCAGAGGCCTGGTAATGAACTAATCATGTGATTCAGGTGTGTTGACCCAGGGTGAGATCTAAAACCTGCAGGGACAGCGGCCCTCGTGGACTGGGATTGGGGACCCCTGTTCTATAGTCTTGCTAATGACCTACCTGTTGCAACAGGGACACATGGAAAAGTTGCAGGACAGCGGCCCTCGAGGACTGGAGTTTGAGACCCCTGCCATATAGTATAGCTGCCAATGGACAGATTCAAGGTTTCGATGGTTACAACCTTGTGCAGTAAAGAGGATGTTGTATTACAAGATACAATAAGCCAGCTGATCGAGTTGTTTCACTAACTCATCTACACAAGACATTTTGTATCGCAGCCATGGGAGCTGACTTGAACTTACAACTTCAATCTCCATGTTTCAACTTTATTGTCAAAATAATTTAGAGTTAAATCTTGTAATTATGACTTTATTCTCAAAATCAGTTGCACATTGATGATTTTTGATGGCTACAGTCTCATTGTTTTATATTTCAACTTTCCCTCATATATTGTCTTAAAAGTCTGATGGATGATTATAAAGAAATTAAAGTTTTCCCCACATGCAGCTGAAACAGTCATGCCTTGAAAACATGCTTTCTTCTCACATTCATCCAGGCTGCTAAATTCTTCTGCTCTGTGGTGCTTTGTAGTTTCTTTACCTTTTTGTCATCTCGCTTAGACGTCCTGTCTTTTTTTTTTTTTAAATTAAAGCAGACTTCAGCACTTCATCCTTTGTGATTGTAAATGCTTAAATAAAACAACTTGAAGAAACAGGTGTGACTCTCCTTTTCAACAATTTTAAGTACACATATATTTGTAAATTGTATACATACACAGCCTTCTGCTGCTTACATTCTTTCTATTTCATCTGTAGATATTTTGAACATCTTATATCTCTATTGTATTTCTTCTATTGTACCCATTGTAGTTCTTTATAGTAGTTTCTATTGCTTTTAAATAATCATTTATCCTATTTATGCATTTTAAGTGGATTTTTTCACAGCAAAGGAAGAATGTCATTCCACAGGGAAACAAATATCTTTACTCTGCATATGACAATAAAACTTTGATACACTAAATTATGTTTTTTTTTCTTACGTGGCCCTCATTTAAAAGGTTCCCCCCTCTTTTTTCCCTTGCCCCTCCTCTCCTTCGGCCAAAGCAGGCACACCTTTCCCTCCGTGGTCCTCCAGCGTTTCTTACCTTCTTGTCGCTGCTTTGAGCCTCGTTGTCTGGCTGTGAACTCTCACCCCAGCTGCTTGGGAAATGTCATACAGGCAGAGGCCCGTGCTGCAGTAGGGGGGCGTAATAGGAGGAAAAAATAACATTTTCACTGCTCTCACTGCATCTTTTTTTATTCGCGTCTCTGAGGTGCAAGTGCCACATCCCCGCTACCAACACCACCACCACCAGCAGCAGCCGCCGATAACTAACCGCAGTCTCAATGCTCACCTCGCATTAGGACTGATATTAAAAAAAAAAAAAAAAAGAAAAAATCCGTGCCAGACATGTGAGTAGCAAACCATCGCTTGTCGCTCTCCACTTACCCGGTGATTGCTGTGCGCTCTCGCTATTGTATCCTCACACCAACGAGAACAGATGGTCATTGAACTGTGTCGTTGTGCTTTTGGTGTCACTGTGCTGTTTTCGTGGCTGCACGATCGCGTTTGCGGGGCAGGCGGCAGCCTCGCTGGCGGCTTGTTTTGGGCTCTGCGTCGGCTTGGCTAATTGAGCAACGAGGCTGTGATTTTTTGGCTGTAAATAGCTCAGTGGGAGGGAGACCCATTCATTCAGTGGCCGTGTGATAAGTGTGTGTGATGTAGCTATTAGCTCTTTAGCCCGCTTGCACTCATCCCCCCCCCTTCCAAGGTAGCCGTGGATTTGGTGTGGAGACAAAACCAGCCTGGTGTTTCCAGTCAGATGCGGAGGCCCAGGTTAGAGCGCACATAATGCGGCGGTGTTGATGTGAAATGTGTTTTTGGCCCCTCTGAGGAGCACAAACTGAGCTGGAACTACAAAGCTGATGCAGATGCGTGCACGGGGACGCAGGGGATCATGCAGGAGGTCTCGTTATTCGCTTGTGATCTGGGATGTACTTCAGTGCAAGGAACTCCCTGTACTTTTTTTTTTTTTGACTGACTGTAGTATTCTTAAGTGTTCTGCGGGGTTTGTTTGGATTATTGCAACGATTCATTGGTGTACTTACTTCCTTTAAAGGCCCCCCTTTTTTCTTTAAATCCCAAACTTCCACATTGGCATTACCGGAGCTGTCTATTTCCTCAATTCCTCTATTTCCCGCATTTGATTGGATGCTTTGGTACTAGAAAGCTGGCATGATGAGTAGAAATATAACTGCAAGATACTGTGTCGCATTCTTAGGCTATAATTTGACTAATTAGGGTATTTACTCCATTATATATCTAGAAACACTGACATCCAGCCATTACACCGTCATCTCTAAACAGTCATGTGTTTTTTTTTTTTGTTTTTTTGTTTTTTAATAACCTTAAGAATAAATAGTCTTATTACAGTTTTTGGTCCTCAAAGATTATAAAATAGCTACATGAAGTTCTGAATTTATTGCTTTTTGTAATTAAATTTGTCAGCATGTAGTTGAAAGGTGATGGGAAACGTGCGGAGGAGGAGATGACATGCAACAGGTTCAGAGTTTTAAAAGTCTGGGATGTTCACAATGACCAAACTCATGCTTTCCATATGGTTGAAGACAAGGTTCCTGCAATGATTTCCAACTCTTCTACTCCTCCGTCCCTCATGGTTTCAGGGGGAAGAACATTAATCCTCTTTGGAAGATGTCAATCCAGCAGACTAACTGGCTTGTGATGCCAATGCCCAGCAGAAGATCCTGGGACTGAGACGTGGATCCCTTTACACTGATGGCCTGGACTGAGTAAGTCATTCAGTGTTTGTTTATTTATTTTTATATGAGCGCTGTGTGTGATAGTGTTTGCTTCATCCGTGACAGGTTTCAGCTGGCCTGCTGAAGCTATGGGGAGCTGTTGGAGCTGTCTATACAGAGACCCCATCCGAGACAACCATCTCACCAAATTTAAGGTCAGGAATCCCCCAAAATCTTGTATATGTGTTGTTTTTTTTTTGTTTTTTTTTTTTTTCCTCCTTACATAACAACTGTCCATTTGTGTCCATTTAAACTGTAGCAAACTGACGTGCCTTCCCCTTCACTTCACGTCATGCTGTTTCCGCCTCTGCTAGGTCACAAATGTAGACGATGAGGGCAACGAGCTGGGCTCTGGGATCATGGAGCTCACCCAAACTGAGCTCATTCTTCACACACGTAAGAGGGACGCCATCCGGTGGCCATATCTCTGCCTGCGTCGCTACGGCTATGACTCCAACCTGTTTTCTTTTGAGAGCGGCCGCCGCTGTCAGACCGGGCAGGGTGAGTAACATTTTCTCTGATTTTCTGCTTTGGTTACACACCTGTAGAGTCGCTGTGGGAGTTGTTGTTGTTTTGTACGTCTTTTTGTACTAACCTAGGTTGTCCTTGTAGTATCTTTAGGTGTGGGCCACTTTGGGTAATTTGAAAGGATTCAAATGTAAGTCATGCAATCTGCTCCAATTCATTGAACACTCATCAAAGGATGACTTTGTGTGTGTGTGTGTGTGGGGGGGGGGGGGGGGGGGGGGGTTTGTGAAATTAAATACAACTTTTACTTTTATTTTAAAGGCAGTCAGAGGTGAAGCTGTGTGCTTACATTTGTGGAGAGCAGATTACTGTGTTCAAGAATTAGTTTGAAGAAAATCTGGAGCTTCAGGTGAAAAACAAAGCAGGGAGTTTTGACTTTTTCTCCTCAGCTCTGGACAAAGAGCTGTGATCATCTGCGACACAGGAACTCAAATGGGACATAAACTGTTAACCGACGGCTATCCGTCGATGTCCACCCGACAGGAAAAAAATGTCAGTCTTTTGAAGCAAGTGATAGATGAAGTGACCGAAATTAATCCAGAAGTGAAACTGGTATTTTTGCATTGCACCACAAATCATGTGGTGTCATGTAAGTCGGTGCTAAATATTAACTGTAGTTGATGTAACTAAAATAATTAACTTGGTCGGACTTTGGCTTCACTGCTGGCCGAGCACTTCAAGTCCCTGCTGGATTTTTTTTAAATTCTCCTCTCAAAGAGGAGAAGTTTACCCACATGATGAAACATGCTCAGAAGATGTTGGCTCTCTTTGGATCTACCTTCATATGTGAACAAACATTCTCAGTGAGGAAGTTAAACAAATCCATATACAGAACCTCTCTCTGGCCATTTCCACCTGAGGCACTGAACCTGACTTTAATGCAGTTGTTCAAGTCCCAAAACAAACCAGACTTCTCTCTCAGTGATCGAGAAAAAAGGAACCGACCACCTCTGTAATATGGCCGATGTCTCTTTCAAGTAAGAAGAGATCTTTGTACGTCCTAAAAGTGTTGTCATTGTGCTGTGTTTTTTTTTGTTTTGTTTTGTTTTTTTTAAAATAGGAATCTTTGCATTCAAGTGTTCTCGGGCAGAAGAGATCTTTAATCTGCTCCAGGAGCTGATGCAGTGCAACAGCATCAACGTGGTGGAAGAGTCGATGATGATGAGTCGGAGCGGTCACACACCAGAGATGGACATGTCTCGCACACCACAGACACCCAACAGTGAGTCACACAACACCAAACGTGCACACAAACAAAAGGATGCACTTTGAGACTAATTGCAGATGTTAGATGCAGTAATCCATCGCTAAATTTAGCAGAACTTGTACAAAAAAGGCTTTGCAACTTTATTTTGGAGTGTTTTTCTTAAGCTGATGAACTATTTTCCCACACACTTTCTCAGAGTGATGAGTCTATCACCATCTTTACTTCTGAATGACTCAGCCTCTTTAGGAAACTCTTTTTATACCAAGTCATGCTACCGAGCTGTTGCCAGTTAACCTATTAAACGGTTTCTTTGAGTCTTTGGTTGCCACTGTTTAAACAGTTCCTGGCATCAAAATGAGATGAAACGGCTGCCTGATAAGTTAAATGCCTAATCAGTGTGTGAGAAATGGAGGTTTCCATGTCACATTCTTCTAAATGACATATTAGACCTTTTCATTCTTGAAATGCTTAATCTTGAACTCATAATTGAAGAAAAGTTGTCAGTTTCTGGAGAAAAACAAATTAGCCTCTTTTCCCCATTAGGAGTTTTATGAGACGCCTTTCAGGTTATGAAGTTTGCCCCAGTTTTGCCATATTTGTTTACAGTCTCTGCCACTTTAGTGAGAGGCAGGTAGCCTGTCCAGGGCCTAATAGCAAAGTGGAACGCTTACTGAGGAGCCTTTAGGTTAAAGAGCCCAAGATTTCCATTCAAAATCAGTGAACACCAAAACAGAGCCAGAAGAGAGTCAGTGTTGAGCAGTCATGTTGCTCATTAACGGTTGCATGTGTTAAAGAAGACAACAGTTTGGCAACAGGTTCACTATTTGAAGGTAAAATAGTTTCTACTGCCCCCAAGTGGCGACAACATCAATTGCTTCAGGTTTAACCAACAAATGCGTAGTGACATCTCATCTCATTTCACACTTTGAAGCGTAACACAGCCAGAAAGACTTGCTTTCATTATTACATTTACATTACTGTATTAGGAAAAGACGCTACCATGTCAGCTAACTGAACCTCTGTAAATGCACTTCAAGCATTCCTTCAAGCACTTCAAATGGTCCTAAAAATGGATATCACTGTTATCCTCTTTGGCTGGAGGATAAAACAAAAAAAAACAAAACATGAAAAATCAAAACATTGTCATATTTTATTTTTGATTGTGAAAGTGCTGCTGGTCTTAAAAGGTTTGCTTTGGTGAAGTTCCTTCTTCTTTGGTGATTTGTTATTCTTGTTGATATAATCCCTTTTTAATGTTGTGTTTTTTTTGTTTTTGTTTTTTTATGTATCCACTGATTTACTGCAAAAAGGATTTTAAATAACACTTTAACATTTAATACTTTACTTGACAGCCTCACTTGATTTATTTATTTATTTTTCTTTACCTGTACCAGCTCCAGCATTTCCTATCCAGGCTTTTCCCAATGGATACCCTGGTTATCCAATCAGAGGAGATTCCTCTCAACCATCGATTGCTGATGATCATGGACATAGCCTCATGGGTTTGGAAGACCAGGTGAGACCTCTGAGTGCGCTTTTAACTGGACTTTAGCTGTGCTGTTTCCCAATGTAACAAAGTCTTTATTTTCTCTTACAGACCCACACCTATGTAAATACTGTGAGCATGGAGGGGGATCTTTCCATGCGTCATTGTGTGCACTCTCTACCTGAGGTACGACCTAGCACTTTTCCTGAAACAACACGGGGAGCCATGCCTGTAGGGGGCCAAGGAAATCCGCAGTCCAACCTGCGGTGCTGTCCCCTCGAGGAGCATAAAGATCCTCAGGTGTTCCTACAGACGTCCTCGCAGGAGGTCAAATTCATGCTGGGTCCCACTCCAGCGCAACGGCATCTGCTGGAGAGAGAGAGGGAGAGGCACGGGCACAATCCTCACAACCTTCAGCCAGTAGAGGGCGCAGCAAGCTCAGAGACGGAAGGAGACGAGCCCTCTATGCACCTGTGCAACTCTCACTCCTACCACCATTTCCATCATCACATGCACCGGCACCTGGGCCATGAGCATCAGGAGGGCTGCCAGAGTGGCGAGCTCACGTACGAGAATATCAACGGCCTGCGAAGCGGCCGTAAGCAGCGTCTGAGTCCCAGCAGCGTGTCGCAATCCGTAGGTTCAAGCAGCAGTAGCAGCACCGGGGACAGTCATTCTCACTCCCTCTTACACGGTCACGGGCCGACATCGCTACCCCCGCAGGGGTACTCCTGTGAGAGGGGCATGGGTGGAGCTCATCGTCGGACAGCTCTGCTTAACTACGAGAACTTACCCTCTCTGCCGCCGGTGTGGGAGTACAGCGCTCTCCAGCGGGATGATGAGCAGGAAGAGGAAGACGATGACCAGGATGATGAGGAATATGAAGAAGAAGAGGAAGATTTTGATGAGTACGAATTCTCAGAAGGCCCCGGGACACCCAATGGTTACCATCAAGACGGCCGGGGCATACACAGAGACGCCCTGCAGAACTATGTCAACACAGAGCAGGTTCAGCCTCCCCGGCTTCGACACGCCTGCCCCCCGCATCCACGGCCGTGTCACCCAGACAGAGGGGGGCGAATATTTAGCTTTGATTTCCGCAGACGATCGAGGTCAGGGGTTGGAGGTTGTGAGCACAGCCACATGCCTCCTTCGCGGCAGCTGAATTACATCCAGGTGGACCTGGAAGGAGAGCCTCCCTGCCAAGCCCTCAGCAGCGGGGGTGCCCAGACCCAGCCACAGCACCAGCGCCTACCACCCAAAAAATGTGGTCCGCAGGCACCCCGGCGCAGCGAATGCTACGCAGTCATTGACCTAAAGAAGACCGCTGCCATGTCCAACCTGCAGAAAGCTCTGCCCAGGGATGATGGGACTTCCAGAAAGACTCGCCACAACAGCACAGACCTGCCTCTGTAAATGGTGTTCGAACTGAAAAGGAGCAATGAAGACAGATGAAGGCTTATCCTCATCTTAGCACACTGGACCCTTCACTGTCATCCATCCATTCAACTGTCGGGCTGATCAGTACAGTACAGGTACCTAATTAGAAACTTACTGAAACCTAACTGTGCATATACAAGCAAAAGAGAAATCTCTGAGGAGAATTTGCCATTTTATTTTGTGTTGTCAGATATTTGGTGTAAAGCTCTCTGGAGAAATCTGCATTTTTTTTTTTTTTTTTTTTTTTTTTTTTTGTTGCAGATGATTGCTGGATATTTGAATATTATTATATCTAACCATAAAGTCACATATGTGTATGTAAAATATATGTATATATGACTTTTGGCTTAGTTTGGCCGAGAGTTTAGCAGAGAGTTATACGTAGAAGCAGTCGTTGCCATAATGTTTTAGTGCAAATTTTTAAAAACCATCTACACTCATAAGTGTTGTTGCTCCTATCATATACTTTGGCAAACACTTTGAGTGTCAGAGTTATGAACCTCATCTCCGAAATTATGTTGTTAGCATGAAGGATGGTAATGGTTCCTCCCAGATACTGGTCAATGTTCATACCTCATCAAAAGCACTTAAATCTAATGTTGTGGCTAGTAGAAGAGACCATTATTTGTTACTGTATGCCTATAGAGCATTTTGCACACAATCCTATGGAATTGTATTTCATCCTTTTTTTTTTCTTTTTTTTTTTCTTTCCTTTTTTAAGGACTTATTTAGTTCAGTCCTAGCTTAAAAAAATGATGGCTTAAACAAATTGAAGAGAATGTGATATTTGAAGAAATATACTAAACTAAATGATGGTGAAAGTAGCACACATGCATTAAATGAGCTTTAGCTCCCTCCTGTCAACATGCAGCAATTGAAAAAGTAGCATATCAACTTTGATCACACCTCCTGCTTATCATCTCAAACCTGCAGGAGGTTCACGCTTGTCACGTTGCACTTTTGACCCTGGGCCGCTGAAACGCTCTTTGTCACCACTCCCGCGCCACTGGAGCCACAGGTTGTGTCCTTTTACCAAAAACAGGGGTTCAAATATTTCCCGGAGATAATAATGTAGATAGTTTATTTAAGTGTTCTTGACAGAGACGCTGATAACCTCAAATCGTGGCATTAAGCTATAACCTCACACAAAATGTTGTCAGTTATCAGGTACGGATGTTCTGTTTGAAAAGGGTTGTCGCAAAATCATCCACTGAAGATTTTTGTGAGAGAAATTGTCAACCAATTAACAGATATTTACTTATTTATTTATTTATTTATTTATTTATTTATTTATTTCACTTTAATTTATTCTCTCTCTCTTTTTTTGTTTTGTTTTGTTTTCCACGTGACGACCAGCGTTTTGTAGTCCAGTTGGTAATATGGAGACCAAAGTTTCACCTCAGATTACCACTGGACACTGATGTATTACTGTTATAACTGTGCTTAATTATATTTTAAACAAAAGAAAGACTGTATTTATATTTTAAGTGCCAAAACTTAATTCCAAACTGTACGATGAATAAAATCAAATGTGCCATTTGGGTTGGTAGAAATCTATAGGACAGAAAGACATAAGAGGAGAACAGTCAGAAGACAAAAAGGAAAAAAGAAAATCCTGCTTTTTAAGGATAACACAAGCTAAAATAATAAAATCTGCACATTCCACCTCATCCACATCGACAGCCATTTTGAAGGGGCATATAAGAATGGTAATCTTGTGGTCTGATGATCGCTGTTAGGGTGGTTTTTATGCTGCTACTTGTACATACTGACAGTAGCCCATGTAAGCTACATGAAAAAAAAATGTGATGTCAGATCCTTATCATATCATTGATAGAAGTAGCATTGTTGTGTTCTCCTGATTTTTTTTTTCTTTTTTTTTTTTCTCAGAGCTGTTGAAATGTCACGTACCATTTAATTGAATGTTTTATTTGACCAATATTTCATGTAATCGAGATTGTTTTCTGATTAACTAATTGTCTTGTATGGGGAGAGTTAATGGAAGCACATGGATCTCTCTTTCTTTGTTCTTCTTTTTTTTTTTTTTTTTTTATGAGCGTTCACATCAGGGTGATGTTTTCAGCCTATAAAGGAAGGCCAGATGTTCTATGTTTACACATGTGCAGGCCTTCAGATGCAGATGTATTGTGGCATTAAGCTGAAGTTGGTCTTTTTTTTTTTTTTTTTTTTTTTTCCACGCATTTTTCTAAGCATTCCCATTAAATGAGACAAATGTATTTTTTTAACATCTGTGCATGAATTGAAGTATTCAAGCTGAGTGGAAATAACCTTTTAAAATGTGTTAAGAATAAACAGAGCCCAACCAATTTATTGTTGTGCAGATGTTATCGGACAATATTAGCTGTTTGCTGATATATTAGTGTTAGGGTTTATAATTTTCAATAAATAAAAATTAAAAAGGTAGAGAAGAGAAAAAAAAAACACCCTTCAACCATGCTGTTGATGTTGCATGGTTTGTCCAGCAGAGGGCACTCAACGGCAACAAAACAACCAGCTGATCCAAACAGAGTTGGCCAGAGTGTAAAGTCATAAATAAATAACAAGAAAAAAAAATGCTGGGTAATTCTTTTTGTTTAATGTGCCTGAAAGAGAGAAAACAAAACAAATGTTTATATCGCAGTATTGGATAATAGTATCTTAAAAATTTGTAAGGACTCTTATGTGCTTACGTGAAGCTGAAACCTAAAACCTAAATTCTTCTGTTCCCTGAAACTATATATTATCATATTTCAATTCCCACTTCAGATATTTTCCTCAAATAGAAAAGCAAAACAGAAATAAGAACTTGTGTGAACCATTATAGATGTAAAATTTTGAATTATTGCTCAAATATTGTTGTGCTACTGTTACTTTCAAGATAAAGTAGTAAATGTTCAGATTTTCTAAAATTTGATAATATGTAACCAGCAAGTTTTTTTTTATTTATATAAAAATATTTTTGCCCTAATTACTTATTTAAAATCTTCAGATAATTAGTTAAAAGATGGCTACCAATATAAAAAAAATCTGCTACTAATGTTTTATTTTAAGTGATCAAAGGGATTTTACAACAACAAATGTTATCTATTATTTTTTTTTAACAATCCATTTAAAACTACAAACATTAAACCTGAAACTGTGAAACTCTCAAATGATTGACAAAGCAGTTAATCAGCTTTCATTGTAGTAAAATAAGTGTAACTTAGCTTGCTAACTTTACATAAAAGTTGCTTGTTGTTTTTGATTTTGTTCTTTGACAAAAACACGTTAACTCTCCTATTTATAAAAAAAAAAAAAGAAAAGACCAACTTGTAGCTGCCATTTTTGCTAGATTTGTGAGGACATTGTTGTGATACATCAGAGGGATGTTTACATTTTTTGCAATAATATGTAATTCGTTGTTTTGCCAATCCAAATTGGACCAATATTTGAAGATTATTGAAATGTATAGTCTAAAGAAGTGTGGTCTTAATGTATTTAATCATGTTTGTCTATTAATCTTATTATTTGAGATACAATGTTCATTTTTCAGCCTCAGTAGAGTGAATTTAACTTTAAAAAGAAAAATGTTTTCTTGACTGTCAGTTAGCTCAACATAAACAGTGCCATATATTATGTTACCATTGCCAATACTTCAGAGTTTATTGCATTACATTTTTCAAAGCTGTGGTGATGTATCATAAACGACTCCGTAAGTCAATCATCCATTTTCTCAGAATAATGTTACGTGTGGATTTATAGGTGTTATAAAATTCTGCACCATTACCGTGATTGCCACTGTTTATTGATTAATAATCAATGACATTTAAGTAATTGTTTTTCAAATCATTCAGCTTCAAAATACTTATCTCATCGCTGCTGAGGTCAAACGAACTCGGGGGCCATAAGATAACGGCACCCACCTCATTACTCACTGTGATTGGCCTGGTGCCGATGCTATCTCAAGCATTTACTTTTCATAAACTTTAGTATTTATGCCTAAGGCATGATTCACACAGGTGTCTATGAGGTTGTCAGTGTGGTGTGGTTGTTTCTGCTTGTGCAATCTGCAGGACAAGTGGCAACGAGTCCTCCCATTAGGTTCCCCAAAACAGCATTTATTTGAAGGGGTTGTTTTAAAATAAAAGTCAAAATAAAAATAATATATATTCTTTGTGTTTACTGTGAAAGCGTAATTGCATACCTTATCCATTAAAAAATAAAAATAAAATCTTGTTGTGCCTTGCATTTTCAAGCTGAAGAAATATCTTTACTGCCATTGATTGTAGCATCCTGATGGAGAAAAGAAAGTCAGCACCTCTTGAAGGTTTGGAGACTGAAAGCAAAATAGCCTTTTAGTCTTTTGTGTTGTACTTTGTAGTCAATCCTGATGGTCAATCACTGTATTTTTTTTTTCCCTCTTTATTTTTCTTAAATGAAGTTTGTTAAAAGAGAAGTTTGGCATTTTCGGAAAAATGAATATTTGCTTTCTTACTAAGAGTTAGATTGATGCCACAGACACTTATGTGATGTGAAAGATGTAGACATAGGTTTGTGAAGCCCTGGCTTGAAGCCTCAATTTTAGCATGTCATCTGCTGCCATGATGGGTTTTTTTATTTGGCACATTTTGAACAGAGGGTGACATGCTAATTTATCAGCTAACGCTAGCAATCTTGGGTAACTTGGAGAGCACATTGGTGTTAAGTAACATAACACTAAAATACTAAAAGAAAATTCTTTAAAAATAGAATTTCATTTTGTTTTTGTTTGTTTTTTAAATACTATTTTACTGTTTAATTATTTGAAAAAGCATAGGGGAAGGCTAGTAGACAGCTAATGCTAGCAGCCACTTGTGTTGGTAGGCTAACTACCTTTTAAAATGCTGTTATAAAAATATTCATAACTCACCACTTTAGAGTTGTTATGAAGTGATAAATTGATTAATTTTTTTTTTTTAGTTTACACGGTTTAAAAATGCTTATTTATCCTGAATGACTTGCCAGTTCAGCAGCTTTATATGTGTTAAAATGATAAGGTTTATCATGCTCCCACCTAGCTTAGCTCAACTTGACTTAGAGACTGAAAATCACCCTATCTTTATTTGCAGGCGCTCTGCTTGTCAAAGTCCTGCTCAGCTGATTTTGTGTTTTTAAAGCCAAATGAATATAAAAATGGACGTTCAGGAGCAAAGAGGAGTACTGTCAGTGAAGTTGAGCTATCTAGAATGACTACTGTACATAAGAAGCATACTGTGGTAGCATTATGAATCGTTTCTGTCTGACAAAATGTTTAAGTTTGAAACACGTGGATAAAATGTCTATTTTTAATCTTTTCTGAAGGTGTCATTATAGTTGAAGAAAAGAGACATACGCTTGATTAATTTCTGAGACTTCTCGGAGAAATCCAGTTTGCCAGCTCAAGTTTGGGTATTAAAATGTGAATTCACATTATTAACAGCATTGTTTCTAAAGTTTTTTTATTTTAATTTTAATTTGATTATTTTATTTGTTAAGCACTGTAGTTAAAATAGAAATTGCCGAGGCTCAGAGGTGTTGCTTGGCAGATTCCACTACCTTTAGACTTAAACAGGGCAGCTGCTTCAAGTAGCTGACAATCTTCACGCTGAACTAGCAGTCTGCAAGCGGCAGCTTTATATTTACTGTAAAGACATGAGATTGGTGGTGTTCTCATCCAACTCTTGAAGGCAGATAAAGCATTTTTCCTAAAAATGTGGGACCATTCTTTTAAGTTGTTGAAATCGAATCTGAATATTTCAGAGTTTTTATTTGAGCCAACTTGAGACAGACAGTGATTTGTAAAAGTCTGAGCAGTGAAAAAGCCAAACTCAGTATGACTGGAAAGGTGTGAATCATGACTAGTGTGTTGTGCAGCATGCATTGTCGATTATAAGTAAAGATTATTGTCTTTGTCATCTAACCGTCAGGTGACTGATTTCCCATCAGCTGCAGCTTCTGTAGGTATAGCTGAATGAGGAAATAAAACATCTTTTTTGTTGTTTGTTTGTTTTTTTTGGGGGGGGGGGGGGGGTTTGTATATGAATCATGTGTTGGGTTTAAAGAATACAGTGGGAACAGAAAGGCCAGCAGTTATACATCACATCGTCTTCATCAGTGCTTTCCATAAATAATCATAAAAATGGCATATTGTAAAACCTCAACTTCTCGTTCATGCTACAAGATCTTTGTCAAAATACTGAAAAGCATCAGAAAACTGTAATATTATTATTATTATTATTATTATTATTATTATTATTATTATTATTGTGTATTTTTATTTTAAATCTGGTTTGTTTTCGTCTGGGTGTAATTGCCACCGGGAGTGATGTACATGTACGGGTCTGAGCTGTACATTTTTTTTTTTTGTGACTGATTTGTGTATTTACATACAGTTTGGGCTAACTTTGTGACTATTATATGAATTTATGAATTGAATGAGTGCCAAATATGCTTGAGCATGACAAAATCTGGGACCTGCAAGGAGCTGCAGGCACTCTGACTCATCAGAGTGATGCCTGAGTGACTCACTGCTGTTGTAGACTCTCCTTGAGTTTTGAATGCACAGCTGAAGGTTTAATCATGCTTACTATTTTTTATGAAAATGAGGGGGGGACTTCTTTATGTTTTGGTCTCAGTTTGAAAAACTTTCTTCAGATATTTGTTGTACGTTTCTGTGTCCAATCATGGCTTATTAATGAGTATGCAGTGATGGTCTTATCATGCTGCCATTAGAGGTGACTATAAAAAGCTTCATTTGTTGAACTGTCAAAGTCATTTTGGGTCATTTTCATTCTTAAATCATTCCACACAGAGACGCGTTGTATGTTATCTAAACTCCTCTTCATCCCAAAAATAAGGTGAGCCTGACATCTGGTGAATTTTACCCTGAATTTTATCAAATATAGAGTGTGGATTTGTCCAAAATGTAAAAGTAAATGTAATTCTAATAATAAAATGAAGCTATGGAAAAAAACAAACAAACAAAAAAACTCCGCTGTGCACTAAATGGTGTCCGTTTTTTCTTCATGTCGACATATCGGTAACAAAGCTTTTTCCCCTCCAGGATCATGTGCCTCGTTGTTCTTACATTATGGCATTTACTGAATTTTTTTTCTTTTACAATCAGAGTTTAAGAATTAAAGAAAAGGGTGAAAGATGTGATTAACGTCATAAGAAACCTGATAACTTTAAGAAGAGAAAAGCTTTGTTCCACAAGCATGTGGAACTGTCCTTATGAAATGCCTGTAATACAACACCCAAAGCGCTGCATTGAAGATCGTTCATCCTCAGGCACGGAAGCTAAGAGGTGAGCTGACAGGAATGCCTTTAGTCAACGGAGATGAGTGATGTTAAATGTATGAAGGCCATCTCAAGCAGAACGAGTAGCTCAATGTCCTGCACAAGAGGATTTATTTACTCTTCAAATTGTGGATTAACCAACAATGAAATAGTGATTTTTATTCCAGATTTATTTTTGCAGCTCAATATTAACATCTTTTAAGCACTTCTCTCTCTGTGCTGGTAATTATATGTACAGAGAACGTGGTTCATGTGAGCATTAGATTTACACCAAAATGTAAATATATTCTTTAAAGCCTTGTGTTCATATAATTGTCTGGTTATTCTATCAGAAAGTAACAAAGCACCACTTTACTGGGAGGCTCGGTGGCTTTAGCTAAAGTGATTAATAAGAGAACATCAGTAGATGTACAATGGCCTTTCACTGTGTCTTGAAACTCATGCTGCTGTTTGTTGCTTGGGTGTCTGATTTCTATGTGAGCATAGAACCTGAAATACCAGAAATGTAATTGGCTGTCTGTGATTTCACTAGAAACACTTGAGCTCGTCATTGAGCAACAGCCAGAGGGATTGTTTCAAATGCATTCAAACCTGCAAGCAGCAACTGTGCATTTAAAGGTCGAAGACACAAAGTTTGGTGGATTTATACAGGAGTTACTGCATACCAGCCATACACACACTCATTTTTAGCAGCAGGGGAATTTCACACCTCACAGTGTGCACCTGTCTTCCATTGTATGAAAATAGCAGTCACAATCCCCCACTCAAATCCTAAATGCAGTGCTCTGGTGACTATTTATTATTTGTCATAGTAAATGAGCCCTGCACTAGTTGGATTAAAACAACACTTTTTGCCGCCCTGGTGGTCCTCCTTGGGTCCTCGTACTCTGGGCCCTCTGGATGTCTGGGACCTGGATCTCCTCCATACCTGCTTCATGTCCTAGGGGACGGGGCTATGGCTCCCCACACTCCCTAGCAGATCATTACATGGAGAAACCTTTTGAATACAAGTGTGCTGATCCACACAGGTGTTCACAGACACAAACTACAGCTTTCTTGGCTGCTGCCTCAAAGCACATTGTGCCCTGTCGATCTTGCGTGCTGCACAATAACATGTAATATTTAGTATCTACTGTTATCTACTGTTAGCTAGTTTATTGTGATGGTGTTGTATTTATTATGTTGCTCTTTTTTGTTTGTTTTTCTTTTTTTTCCCCCCTTTCTCACCATCTCTCCTCGCCTCTATTTTTCTTTCTCTCCCTCTCTTTCTTTCATTCTTTCTCCCTGTCCTATCCCCCAGTCATGTCTGTCCCGTCTGTAACAACCAAAAATCAAATCAAATAAATACATAATTATAATAAAGGTCAATCAAATGGACCAATATGGCAAGGCCATGATGATCCACTTGGTAAAGTAAATCCGCTTGGCATCTTTCTTGGCCTTCAGACAACAATTCTGATGGCTAAACTGTCCTGTTTGGACAGGCAAAAAACAAACAAACCAAAAACACTTTCAGCCTTCATCTTCACGTGCATCTCAGCATGCAACTAGTTAGCCCACTGTTGCAGTAGATTCATAGGTATCCATCACTCCTGTGGTAGCTTTTGCTATGACTTGCTCCTTCTGTTCCTGTCAGTTGTGCCAGAAAAAAATGGAACAAATTAACTGACTGTTGAATGACACAGAAAGATAAGCAAAATGTGCTTAAACTGAACTTAATTTTATAGACTGTCTTTAAGCATGCCATCAACTACAGCAATGTAATGAGCAAATTGTAAATGATCTGTTGACAGACTAACTATAAGTAGCTGAAAACTGCACCAATTACAGCACCGTTACTGGTATTTCAGTTGCAAGAAACTTATGTAGACCATAAATGGACATTGCATTCTCAGTAAAAGCAATAATGTGAATATAAACCTGTATCCAGTATATTAAAAATGTGACACATTTGTGCTGTAAATACAGCTGCATTCCTCATTTAACATTTATAATCCCCAACTTCCCCATATCTGGAGTAAATGATTTACTATGAAGAAAGTTAAACATATATAAGAAGTGTAGATGACTCTTTTGATGTAAAATAACTAACCTGTGTTTATGAGATAAGAGCTGCTTCCTTCTTGTTTAAAGCCTTAGGGCTTAAAAAGGGTTACCATTTCCTATAGAAATAATACAGTAATCAAAAACATTTCATTCAGTCCTTTCATTCAGTTGCTTGAAGAACCACTGTTAGCAGCAATAACTTCAAGTAATTTTCTGTATGACTTCATCAGTCTTTCATATCATTGGGGAGGAATTTTGGCTAGTTGTTTTTAGAGCATAGCTGCAGTTCATTGAGAGTGGAGGCCATGCATTTATTCACAGCTCACGTAAAGGCCTACTGATATCTGGACTACAGCAGCACATCCCTCCACCACCGTGCTTGACAGCTGGTTTGTCTGTGCTGATAAGGTGTTTGGTTTTCACTTAACACGGTGCTGTGCATTATGGCTATACTTGTTCTGTCTTTTTCTAATGTGATGGACTGTACTAAGTTGTAGTTCTTGTTTCAGCTACTTCTGTGATGTTTGCATGGTCTGACCCCTGAGTAAAATTTGCTTGGAACATCTGTCCCAGGGAAGA